AAGATATATAATTTAGTTGTTATATATATTTACCACTTTTTTCCGATCTCTTATCGGAATTCCACAAATCTGCGAACCTTTCTATTGCCCTGGATCGTCGCACTTTAGCAGCTCTGTCTTTAACTAATTTTTCTAAACGTCCAAAGCCCTCTAGCTCTTGTCTCTGCTCTGCCTCCTCTTGCATTACATGCGTCCCACTGGCGGCCTCATTGGAACTGACACCTTCCTGTAATTGAGCTGGTCCATTTTCAGTAGATAACTTCCGCGTTTGAGCCACATTAGATGAGCCATTTGCCGTTTCTTGTTCAACTAGTGTCAGCCAAGGATCGGCACTGTGTGACCGCGTTCTCGACAGAGAAATCTCAGCCGTTCGTGCAACTTTAATGAGTATCCGGCTAGGATTCATCATTGTGACAACCATAGGCTTCCGGCCTCGCCTCTTCATGGGTGGAGAGGTTAGAGACTCAAATGCTGAGTGAACATCACCACCGCCACCACCACCATCACCAAGGAGTAAATTTGTTTTTTTACTGGCTTTTACGGTACTGGAGAATGTGTTTGTGCCATATATTTCCCTATCTGTATCTGCCTCTTCCACCTCCTCTTCATCATCCACTTCTTCCTCTTTGCATTCCTGGCCGTTTCTTCCCTCTTCTGTTCGTTCCTCAGGCTCCGTTATTCTTTGCCTCAATTTTCTCACTAATCTGCTCATCCGGTTCCTAGACTGCTGGAAGCTCTGAGGCTCGAGCCGATTTTTGCCACTGGCAGTCATCTTGCCTCCATTCGCCTTGGCCTGGGATACCCCCTTACTTCCGACTATGCAATCGTCAACTTGAGTTGGACTTGGCACTCTGGAAAGTTCACTGTTATTTTCTATGCTAGCGTCGAGTAAAGAAGTCTCCTTTCCCTTTTCAAAGCCTTCGATGCTTCCTATCTCCTGCTCCTCTTCTTCGGGTCTTTTTATCCTGATTTGGTCTTCTGGCGCAGCATCCACCGATGACTTATGCCGAAATGTGTGCGCTTCTACAAAACCCGTCAAAACACCGCCGCCCTTCGGGATTCGTTTTTGACTGATTGCCCTCTCTGAGCTTCGATGGGTTGCGCTTGGTGACCGGTGCTCTAAGCTATATGAGCGCAGATATGATATGGGGGTTTTCCTCGCTCTGGCTGGAGATGAAGTGACTGAGTCCAAGCTGGAGTTGACAAGTGCGAAGTCATGGCTGTTCTTGTCGTCCCATTTCGTCGGTTGTGGGTTGAAGGTGTCTTGCGTAATCGTGAAAGACGATACATGGGGCAAGTGAGAGGAGGGAGTAGGCAACAAAGTAGCCGGCAAGCCTCGCAGTGGCGCCAAAGGAGGCTTTCGCCATCTTGCTCCATCATCGTAAATGCCACTGATCAGACCGACATTGTCCATAGTTCCCGTTTCTCGGGCACCAGATGAGGCCCACCCCTTTCCCGTGGTCGTCGTCCACTGGACAGCGTACGATGAAGATGCAGCCGCGCTGGCTGGGCCTGGGGACAGTGTGCTCGGCGTTTGGCCCATCGCACCGGTGGCCGGACTCACTAAACGACCATCGGATGGGAGCTTGGGCGAAGAAGAAGTGGATGAAAGCAAAGAGTTTTCTGTACATTGCTGCGAGAATGAAGTGGCCTCGTTGAGCTGGACGAGGGTGCTGTGGAGCTCACCACCCTCATTGGAAGATCGTGAGATTAACGGTTTTTGAGATAACGGCTTTCGAGTGAACGCGGTTGGGCTGTGCCTGCTCGTATAAAGATGGCCGGAAGGTTGCAGGCTGCATCGGAAGGAGTAATTTCGGAAACTATCTCCGACCTCCTCGGTAGAGTTATTTGTTGCAGAAGGGAAGCGATCAATGCTTGCCGTCTCGAAGTTATCCTTCTCCTCGTTCAGCCCTTCTGCATATCGGACTTGCTGCCCATAGTGGTCAATCTCAGGGTCCGGAGCCTCGTTTCGCTTGACCATGTACGGGGTCCAAGGTCGTAAAGTTTTGGTATCAGTACGCTCTGTCTGCTCGCAGTCACTAGAGCCCCCGGATTCAGCCATTTCATCTTGGCTCCTGTGATTTCTAGTCGCTAGTTGGACTGTCGGTGGCGTAGGCGCTGCTCCAAAGGAAGATTTACGAAATACACCAATCTCTCTCTGCAGATGAGGTCCAGCTGTGCTTTGATTGACGATTGTGATGCTAGTAGGGACAATATCAGGTAGAGCATTTGCCTCAGTGGAATCTCGCTTCTCTTGCACATACTGAATCGAAGTCAGTGTCCATAGATTGGCCGAAGCAGATGCTGGCCACGCTGTTTCCATTTCGAAGGGGGATAGACGAAATCATTTATAGCTAAAGTATACAAGAAGTGCCTTTGGGGTTAGACTGAGAGCCGATAAAGTGTGAAGTGTGTGACCTTCATGACAGTGAAAGGATTGAGCTAGAACCTTATTTGGTCTGGCTTTCGTTTCCTCTCAACAATCTGGCCATATCACAATTATAGATAATCCTCTGAAACATAATTTCGTAGCATCCTGTGCAGTGAAGTTTCCTAGCGAGCTGGCCATTTTCACAAGGAATGTCCCACTCTTGTTCATAGAGTTGAGATAAAGTATATTAATTTGACTATAGCATAAAAAGTAGACTACTAGTACATGAGTTGCATATATCGGAGTAGCAGAAATTAGGCGATGTGATTAGCAAATTAAAACAACTGATGCTGAAAGACGGGAGAGCAATGGGTTGAGGGATGAAAAGAGAAAGAATTCACGATAAAATACCTAGAAAATTTTCGGTTGCTAGCAGAAATTGCCGAATTACTCTCCAATATCCTGATTTATTGAAATGTGTGGATATCCAGACAGAAATGCGAGCTATTAACTGGCAGATAGGAGCGACTTAGCAGAGCAACAAGTCCAACTAGATTTCGATTGATGAAGACCAGGTGATATGCACCTTCTCAAAACTGTCGTAAAGTTAGCTGATAAGGACATATGCAAGTGCACGTGTGTGAGCAAAAAATATGCACACACTCATGCGAAAGCACACAATATTCAAGTAAGCAGTTGTACATAAAGGTGGCAAGCAGACACTTAGATGTATAAACGAGCAAGCAGGAGGGCAGACAGTTACACGGACAGGCAAGTGTTAGGCGAGAAGACTGGCAGACAGTGAGACTGTCGGGTAGACGGACATGCAAATAGGTGGGTGGGAGATAGCTTAGGCAACCAGGTACAGTACTAAACTCCCCTTTGAGAGAGCACCTCAGCAGGGATCAGAGAAATATATTTGCCTTTTTCAGGGATTCACTGAAATGTTGATGGACAGGCGGGCATTTCTCGGGTTGTGATCAGACTAAAGTGCATTACTTCGGCCGGCAGGGACAAAATATGTGAAATTTCCAGTTATAATTACAAGTGTATCCAAAACATTGCGACTGCCGAAACGTAGATTTGCAAGCTTAGCTACGCAATCACTATCATACAATCAAACAATAGGGTATATCGTGTGTATAGCATACAAACACATAGACTCATATGCATGAAGGAATGTATATTGCTGGATTCTAAGATGATAGCACACAAAAGGATGTGATCATAAAAATATTTTACTTTGCTTTAGTAGTTCCAGAGCAATATGACCATATACTCGCGGAACTATGTTATATAGATTGGTTAAGGTTGAACTAGGCGTCATTTTAGGGAGAGACAATGAAGACCATACGCCTCTGTGATATCCCTATTCAGAAATGAGTAACTGGATGGCAAGATTGGAATCATAATTTTGGCTATTTCTATGGTCAGTATGAGAGAAATACAGCAATGAGTTTATGTTGATAATTGGGAAGCCATATTTTGGTTGGTCATTTAAGCAGAGCAGGGATTTTTTTGTGTAAAAAATGTTGAGGGGAATAATTTTAACAAGTTAATTTTTAAGGAGCGAATTTATTCACTTAATTTGTGGCATCTTCC